TACTTTTGTTTTTTATATAACTGAGTAATTGTCATGCATTTTGTTTTATTATTTTGAACCATGTTTTCAATACGCATAAATCGATATTGTCATAAACTTAAAATGAAACATTAAGTACCTATTGACCCGAAAGCCTACGTGGGTATCAGTCCGCCACAAAACTCATTATTGTGATTTACTATCAGCTACCAGCATTAAAAACAACTAGTATAATTTACGTTGACGAGCATTTTAGCAACATTGCTTGAATACCTGGAAAGAATTGAAGATTTTCAAACCATATCATGATAATTATTCACTGGCGAACTTTATCACTGGTTTTGTTTGAATAAATATGTTTAGAAAAATAGGAAAAGCCAACTTCATTTCTTCATGAAATTTTAATTATTCACAAAACTACAGAAAAATTTAAATAATTCTCTCAAAAAAGTGTGTATCTATAAGTATAAGTAAGTAGTAAATGGACAGCCAGAATTCTGTGACATGACTATGAATATTGACTGTTCAGTCACTATATGAACATAGTCAGTGGATTACACTTTTCTGTATGTGATGTGCACTTTTTATTTAGTTGATGTGTCCTTAAAATCTTTCTGTTGATGTCTCAACATTTTTCTTCAAGATAGATAATCTACTTATAAATGAAAAAGTAGCTTACTTAATTCCCTGAAGATTGCATGATATTCTCATTGATTAATGCATCTTACCAGACAGCAAAAACTTTTGTAACGAATATATAGAACAGAAATTAGAATAGTCCTATTGTAAAGTCGTGGTAAATTTTTTCTATCCCTTTGAGTTCCGAGTGACATACAGGAACTTCAAGCTCTAACATTTTAAACTTCCAAAAGTAATGGCGGTTTTGTTACTGGGTGGGGTTGCTAGCCTCACAGCAAACCTTCTCTCTTTACGGGGCTTAGAGCCGATGAAGCGAGGTTGGGGAATGCATCGGCCAGGAATCGAACCCAGACCACTTGCACGGTTGTTGAAAATTCTATCACACCAACTTAAATATTTGCAGCGGATGGAATACAGTATCTGGCGGAGATATTATCTAAGGTCGCACTGCCAAAAAGCCTTTTTTAACAAACTTTTAGTCATTTCCAGTTTGTATTTTTGCTTTTCTTTGCCAAGTTTAAACTCTTGGGCTACCGAAAACGATCAATATATTGCATATAATTTCTCCGGTTCAATTTGTTTCAATCTAATAAAATATGACCTCTAGTAGTATTGTAAAGGTAGAAGAGAACAAACTTGTTAATGGAATGTTTACTTGGAATTTGGTAGCTGTCCATAGAGAATTTATGTACACCCTATCTGAAAATCGTCATTTGCACAAATCTTCTGTGTTGTGCTATCTCTGCCCTTCGTACTGTGTTTCACTGTCTTCTTTTCATGTCTCCCATGTTTACCGCAATACCGGTTCAATTTTCTCTCTTTGATGTGAAGTCTATCACTCAGCTATTTGGTATTTCTAGGCCGGTGAACATCTCTTAATATAATGCTAATAAAGCTTGTCAGTACAACTGTTATAACTGCACTGAACTGAATAAACTCATCGCCATTTTGTTATGTCTGCGCATTCTAACTTTTATAACGGTAATGAACTCGACTGGTACGCTAATTCACCTATTTGTTCGTTGTACTCTCCTATTCACTAAGCCATGCAAATGTAAAAAAAACAGAGGCTGGCCTGTGACTGTCAGATATTGTATTGTACTTTTATTAAGAAACACAACACCATATTTATATATTTTTACCACAATAAATTTGGCTCACAGACGTGAGAGTGGACCATTCTTATTGTCTGGTAATTGCTGTTCTGATTGGTTGGCGATCCGAAAAAGACCAAGGTGAGACAAAAGGTGATGAATTGACCGCACACTAAATCACAATGTGGGTGAGGAATGATAGATCAACATTGTAACTCTATCACAAGATAAATCACACGATCTATGAGAAAGGATGATATGCTGTTTTATGCTAGATGCTATCAACCACGAAACGCAGTATTATTTACTCTGGTGAGTATTCCAAATGTTTACAACCTGCTGATGAGCAAGTTTCTGCTAAACATGAGAAAAAGCGAAATTCTGGGTGGCATTCAATGAGATGTTTTCTATTTCTCGAAGGAGACAAAGAAGAGATATCATGAAGGATGGGTTTGCTCTTCAGGTCAGATAGAGCTGTTTCACACGATCTACTATCAGTCAATATTCCATTTAAAGATCCTGTATGAAGGACCAATATCATGCAACAAATTCCGCTGAAAATTCTCTACATTATATAAACGCCGTTCGGAATGAAGCTGTTATTAGTATAAATTGTAAATACATATCTTTCCTGATTCTGTATAGTACTGATTGATTGCCATGAGTATATGGATACCACTTAAATCAACTAGTAGCGCTTGTTAGACGGATAAAAGTCTTATAAGCATCGGATGACCGTTTCGCTCATCTGAGGCCCAAATCACCCAAGGCGTATTATATTGTTATTATATTTATTGTTCCCTTGGGTTCCAAGTGTAACAAAGGGCTTCAATAACATATCTTCAGCTTGTTCGGGTTTTCTGTTTTCCTCTTAAAAAGGGGCCACGATTGCCCATAATATTTCACCTCCTCGTCACACGATCTCCTCCATGTCACTCTAGGACGACCCACTTGTTGTTTCTTATACGGGTTCCACTCGAGGGCCTGGCACATGATGCCAGTAGACGACCTCCCTAGCGTCCGCCCAACCCGTCGCCATTTTGTCCTACATCTTTGTTGATTGATAGGTCCTTGGTTAATTTGTTTCCATAGTTCCCTGTTGCTAGTTCTTTCTGACCATTTGATCTTCCATATGAAACCTGCGAAGGCGGCTGTTGATGAAAGTCGGTAACCTGTTCGAAATGCTTTTCGTGATGTGCCATGTTTTGGACCCATATAGAAGAACTGCATTGAAACTGATGTTGAAAATCCGAATCTTGTTCTTCCTTCTGAGTGTAGAAGATTTCCAGACCGATTTCAGATTTTTGTCCAGTTTACTAGCTCGCTAGTTTTCTAGCCAGTCCCAAGCCTGAGAAAAGAGGTACAGTTGGGCTTGTAGCTAGCGATCCAATCCAGGAAAAACAACCAAACTGCTACAGATACTGCAACACACAAGAGATGTACTATATAATATTATACAAATATGCTTGTTGTCCTAAATGCCATTAATGGTATCAAGCAGAAAACGTATTTTGAACTTAGTAATTTCAGTTTCGAAAGGAGATTGTGGTGAAGTTTCACAGCGGATTGTATAAACTCCTAATTGCGAATTAATTGGTAAATTGCGAACTTGATCCAATGTCTTCCCGGAATTTGTAAGTCTGCTTTCAAAAGTTCATAACAAATAAATATTTTTATATTGATAACATTTCGTTTGACAGAAGTTTGAAGCAACCAATTCCTCTGAGAAATTTCGACAAAACAATAAGATTCAATTTATATTAAACGTGTCATGTATTTTCACGACACATTTTGGATTTTCTGATCACACATATGCTTGGCATACATATTTATATAAAAGTTAACGAAGTATAAAGGGTCCAAATTGGATCAATATAAGTCGAAATGTCGAAATCACAGACAAGAGGTGAGAAAAAAGGGAGTGAAAATATGAATAAGTTTTCAAGTAATAGTTTGTAGGGATTTTTGCTTGGTTGGTCACAGGATTTCATCATGAGGTGACATCGGTTAGAGAACTATTGGAAAACCTGTGCGGAGTACTGGACATCTGTTTCATCCTAGTGTGGGACTCTTCGTTAGCGTCCACCCACCGACAGGGTTCAAGCCCAGGACCGTGTGGGTACAAGGCCAGTGAGCTCGTAGACCATTCACTCAGCCACTGCGACCACATCCAGTGGACAACACATGAATTCTAACTTCTGACCTATTCAGGAAGTTACTTGGGGTTCTAGTGGGAAGCCGTGATCATTGGAGTACAGCAGGTGTAAGGTGAGGACAGGTGGTCATCGAAGAATACATTGTGAACTGGTCGAACTATGTCGTGAATTGGCAGAAGTTGGAATTCATGTGTTGGCCATTGGATTGGGTCTCAGTGGTTGAGTGAATTGTCTACGAGGTGTCTGGCCTTGTAACCAGAAGGTTGTGTGTTCGACGATTGTCGGTGGATGCGCACTGCGCAAGATTCGCAAAGTAGAACGAAAGAGCTTCCCAGTACTCTCTGCAGGTTTTCCAATAGTTCTCTAACCACTGTTATCTCATAATGAAATCCTCCAAATTAAATAAATCTTGGTTTCAAAATTGTCATGTTCAAAGTAATAAGAAATAATTTTTGTATAGATAAAACAGGTCTAAATATTTCTGTGGCTCAGGCTTCCACAAAGCTAAGTCTGCCATCCAAACCTATTTTATAAATGGGTTTAAAGGTAGTGTTGAAATAAACTTTATGGACTGTCTATAACCATTAAAAGTTTCCACTAGTTCATATTCGGCAAAGACAGTATCTCCAAAAATTAGAATTTTTATTTATTTTATTTTAAATATTCTTTCACTGTATCACGGAAAGCATCGTAGATTACGTGTATTATATATCAGTTGTTTAATTACAGTTGTTAATTGTTCACAAATGAAAGAACCGAAGAAAGATATGTATCAACAGTGGTTGCAAGAATGATGGACTTCTATGTTTCTATGCAAATCATTCTCACTAAGATACCACAACAGAAAGTAGTATCTGTAATGGTCATAAATATCTCCCTATGTTTGCAGAAGTTTTATGCACATATTTCAGACACTGGAATTTGTATCCTAAATATGTTATTCTACTCTACTCTGCAGAATTCATTGTTAGAAATAGTGTGGCATAGCTAATCCCCTACCTACAATTTAAAATCGCTACACTTATAGGCATACAGACACATCCATCCACACGTGATGTCTGCAAAATAAAAAGTAGTGAGTGAATAAATGCTTAAATAAAGCATAACTTAAATTATTCCGTTGGGAAAGAGAAAATAACTCTCGTGTATTTCAATCATTTCAACTCACTCTTGGGCTAAGCATTCATTGGAGGAGAATGGAATTTTCCCTTCTCTATTTGAATCAAACTATTATTTCTGTGATCGTCGTTATTGGTTCATTTGACAAAATTTATGCATACATTCTCCGTCCTTCTATACAAGCAGAAAACTATTTTTATGGAATTATCTTTAGTCACACAAACCGTCGTAGTACTACAATGAATCCTTACTATGTTTGTTTCTTTATGCCTTCTAAACATCCCCTTCTTTTAAATTGTATAAGGTTTATTTATTATGTTGAGCAGCACTTTATTTCCACTTTTAATGATAGAATTCTGTTTTTATCTCTCATCATCATACACTACTAACTCTGTAAGAGAAACTGTCATATAAAATATTGAAAATATATTATTCCATTTATTGTTATACTTGAGCTTCTAGTAAATAATTAGAAATGAATCCAAATTACTCGAAAATAAAACTAAATGAGACCTGTTTTCCAATGCCAATTAAGTCTAATTTGAAATATGATGAAGGTGATATTGAGAATCAAAATTATCTTACCCAAACAAAAATTATTCATTTTTTCAATACTTACAAATATTTCTTGCATAGTTATGCTCATCACTTTATGCATAAAGTTAATAATGATACATTTAGCCTAATTACTAGTAACAGTAATGAAATATGTAGTTTAGCAAAATCCAGTTCATCTTGGGATGGTCGAAATACACTGAATAATAAATCAACAATAAGTACCTTTGAACCATCCTTAATTGATGCTATGAAAGAACCACAATTAGGAAGACATTTATCAGCATTCAGTTCAGTGAATACCTATTTAAGGCATCCTCATTTGCACCAGTTGCGTCTGTCAGCCAGACATCCAAAACTTAAATCTAGTAATCCTACAAGGGTCTTTCCACCATCCTCCTCCTCATCATCATCATATGCTACTTTGTTCTATGAAAACTATCCTAAAACAAAGCTTGATTCGATAATTAATCCAAATTTAAAACTGTTACCTTCAATAAACAGTGATAAAATGTTTAATGAGACATTACCTACATCATCAACAGTGTCAGTCAATCTGCCATCATCTTTAAAACCTTCATCATCCAAACTACCAGCATTGTTATCATCATCACCGTCATCATTATCATCGGATTCTGTGAATACATCGAAAAATTTAACTGTACAAGTTTTAAAACGTTTAGCTAAATTACCAAATCATCTAGGACCACATATATGTCAATTATGTTATCAATATTTTGAAAATGCTTTGAAATTAGCTAATCATCGGTGTCCATTGATACTTCATACCGATTACCGTTGTCCTGAATGTGATAAGGTAAGAAAATCTGTTGAGTTCTACTGTGTTTAGACAATATACTTTATTCCTCTTCTTGTATTTAAATAAATGCCTATGCCAACGCGCTATATATATATCACTTTGTAATAGATAATTCACTTTTATTGAATTTGAGGTTTTCCCGTCGATTGATTGGACCGAAGTGCTCTGTCTCAGGTTGACATGTCACCCGCTTTAGCGTTTAAAACTATGGGTACTGGGTACGAGCCTCGGTGAGAACATCATCACTCACTTAGAAATGCAGTTACATCCAGCTGCTGAGTCCCAAATAGGACGAAATGTACCTTATCCTGGATTTCACTGCTAGTCACCATCCACCAATTAGATAATAGTAATAATAGTATGCAATTCGGTAACTTTAGACAGCTGTCTTGTGATAACCTCATTCAAAATTAAATTGAAGACTGTCATTTATCCCATCAAGTAGTCAATAAATCGAAATCCCGAAATCCATATTTTCCATCTTAGGTACACACTAAAAAAATTATAGGGTGAATAGGTGTTGAAGAGCAGAAACAGAAGAATGGTCATTAATTTAAGGGTAGAAATTGGGCACTGTGGTAGGGTATAAATCCATCATGAAGAAAATTTATTTGATAAAGTCTAGGGATGTTATACCATAATATTTACTGTCATTACACACATGCACCTTAAAAACAAGTTCCTAAAATATTAAAGAGAATAAAATCTGTAAAATGTGGAGATATTTGAATATATATATATATATATATATATATATATATATATATGACTTAGATACCTATCTTTTCAGTCATATAGAAAAGATTTGTGATATACAGAAATGTTTGGTGGATTTAGATCATATGAAGTAGGGAATTATGACTTCGAATTCCTTTAATCTTATTAGTATGCAAGAAGACGTACATGGAAACCTAACGAAAATTTATCCTTTCAGAAAAAATGGATTATGAAACTGAGTCTTTTGAACTCGTAGTCATAGCAGATGATTTGGTGGATAGGTTTTTACTCATTGTCACTTAGGTTCCATCTGATTTACCACATTATTTCCAAGTGGAATACAGGACTTCAAGCGTCAAGTTTTCAAGTTTCAATAGTGATTTTGTTGTTTATTACTGGTAGGGTTACTAGTCTCACACGCGACCATCTCTCTTCACCAGACTTACTACCGGGTGTTAGAACTTTAGGAGTACTTTGAACAATAACTGAAGCCGGACCATGTGAGTAGTTGGTAGCCATTCTACGACTGAACCACCAGCTTTCTGCCGATCACCTTCAACTATCTAACATCATTTCAGAGTGAACTGCAATGGCGAGCCTAACCTAACTTGTTGATCACATTGCAAACTTCACTAATAGAACTAAGTCTGCACCAAATCCAAGGACTGAACGCACGACAATGGTTACTCCCTTGTGACCAATCGAAGTATCCATTACAGTCCTAAAAGATTTGCCACATTGGTTTTTCATTATCTGACTAAATCTTCAGAGTTACAGTAGTGATTATTTGTCAGATGTGGAAAAAAGTATAAAATCTATTCAGTTTAAGAATCTTTAATGCATCTGTGAAACAAACTCCTAGAATTAATTAAGTTACAAAAATCAATGTGGAGTTTTCTAGAATTAACTATGTTCATTACTAAAATAATACCAAGTAGTGTTAAACAGTATAAACTTGATTAGGCAGGTAGCTTTAAGCATTAACGTTTCTCAGTGAATGCCTACTTGGCGTTCATATAACGTTTAGTACATTTAAGGGAATAAAACCATGGTTCTCTAACACTGATATCACTCCGTGGTCTAACTCGATAAGTAAATCAAATCCTTAAAATTAACCATTTGTATTTATGACGACAGTAATGATTCACTATTTATCAGTAGAAGAATAGACATAATAAAAACTAAAGAAGAACAGACTAATACAACAGAAATTGAACAGATATCAAAATAGTTATTAGAAAGTATTTAAACTCATATTAAATGATAGACTACGAGATCATGGGTTACTCAGTCTATCCTTTATGAATTGAATGATATTATGTCTAATAGTAACAGAAATAATTCTGTATGTCTCTCAATCTCTCTCTCTCTCTGATTCACTTAGTTATCACTCTAATCAGATAATTCCTTTCAAGCAAATGCCAACGGTTCTAAATGATTTAGTTTAAAACCATTATTTTTGAAGAAATTTAAGATTTTTCAAAAGAATGGATACTGAACAAAGAGTACTGTTTTCGATAACTTCATCATCAGGCTCTACAGTTATGTATACATTATATTGAATGAATGAATTACTATTATGAACAACATTAATGTTTAAATAACATCGAATCAATAATATTGATAGATTAGAGCTCAATAGCATTAACATAGAATAAAGATAAGATCGATGGTGCTACCTCGACTGAAAGATGAAGTACCTAGACTAGTATCTACCAATTCAACTGCGCTTGTGGAGAGAGTTATATTGCCCGTTACTCTAGGAACTTGATTTTTCGCCCTCGAGAACGTCTCCCACTATGGCTAATTAAAGGTGTAGTTAAAACCATCAGCAGTTGGATATTGGACCATCTGGTGCAAACCGGCCACAAAGCCAGAGTGGAAGAATCCTTCTCTATAATCTACCGGGTGTCTAATAAATTGCCAAGATCATCGAAGCACCGTATGTTCCAAACAGCAGAGGCGATTGCAATTCGCCTCAAACAACCAGTGCTCTTTGTTCAAAAGAAGCAAGTCCAGCCACTACTACTACCCTGGCCTGCAGTAGAGACTATAAATTCATGAATTTGTAATATTATCTTTCCTAATTTTTCTGACATTCAGCTTATTTTGTGTTGATGCTATTGAGCTCTAATCTATCAATATTATTGATTCGATGTTATTTAAACATTAATGTTGTTCATAACAGTAATTCATTCATTCAATATAATGTATATATAACTGTAGAGCCTGATGATGAAGTTATCGAAAACAGTACTCTTTGTTCAGTATCCATTCTTTTGAAAGATTTAAGGTTGTTCAGAATGTAAGATTTGAGTTGACGATGAATATCGCCTTTCAGCAAATTTAAGTTTACCTTTTATGGTTAACTGTTCATATATAAACTTAGCAGTATTATTTTTGTGAATGATCAATTATAATTTCTCATGGTGTAAACTGAGAAAGCAAAGTTCTTAATAAATCAAATCTTATATGATAATTTCTAGATCCACTTCTCTGCAAAAGAAAACTGGGATAAATTAACACATGAATTTACTCTAATAATTACATCAAGCGGGCTTCTGTATTATTTACTTCTAAAAATTTCATCGTGTACACTAACTGATTCTAAACACTCTCACTTTAAGTCATAAACACTTTTCACTATGTTCATTTTCAAATTTCAAAAACCGGTTTTCACATTTTTTTTCATTATTTTTAAGGTATTTAGTTGCCCGGCTAATCTAGCAAGTCATAGACGTTGGCATAAACCAAAATTAAATGTAATTTCTGATCAAATAGACCCAACAAATCATACTACATGTTCAACCAGTCACAACTACAATAATTTCACATCTGAAAAATACTCTAATTGTAATGACAAAAAGGTGCTTAATTATTCATCAAAATACTCAGGCGTAAAAATAACGCCAAATTATTTACCTAAGAGTGATATGAATTCAGTTCCACCACCTCTTGAAGACCAACAGTTAATGGAGAATAAAGCTGATGGACAAGTATGTGACCAATTTCGTCACTATCAAATTAATCACTGTGTGATAAACTCTAATTTCAATCAGAAACTAAATTTTTCAGTTCAAACATTACTTGGAGACCCCTTCTGTTGTAGTGATGAGTACCTTATAAGAAGTAATTTAAAAGTTGACTGTAATGAAAAAGCTGTTTGCAATGAATCGTCAATTAGTCATCAAGAAGAAACAAGTTTAAAAACTAATGAAAAATCCTGTTCAACCATTTGTACTACTGCTAATGACTGCAATATTAAAAGTAATGCGTATCCGTCTGTTGATTTTACTCAAAGTACCATGTGTAATGTTAACTACCTTCCCGCTGAAAAACAAACTTCAATCAAATGCAATTCTTGCCATTCAATTTTACCAAGTCAAAGTCTATTCGAAACTCATATGCTGCAACATATTTTTAATAATCTCAAATCAGTAGACCTTTTATCGAATTCTAACTCTTCTGAATGAAGCTTACTCATAAAGTCATTTGATTGTATCAGAAATATTTATGAGAACAGTTTCGCTCACACAAAATTATTTCATTCATCATTTAATTAACAAGTATTTATTTATTTATTCATTCATTCTATTATCACTGGACTGAATTTCGTCAAAGAAAGGGAAAAACAGCAGATTTGCACATAAATAAAACAATTATTTCAACAACTCACTTTTCAATCTACAAAAATAATTAAAGTTGAATGAGCTAGTGATTTTGAGAAAATAAGAAATACAATAATTTTTCTGCCCAGAAAATTTAGTTTTGTTCTTTTCATTTCTTTCTTTCGGTGTGTGTGTGTGTGTGTGCGTATGTGTATGCTTTTATGCGCTTCTTATCTATACCTTTCTGATTACTATCTGTGTATTTCAAATAAAAGAGAGTGAAATACTCGAACAACAAATACACATTTACAACGACCACGATTAGAACAACAACACAAATGGATGAGGTGAGGTTAGGGGTGTGTGTAGGTGGTCAACAAAAGCTCAGACTTTGTTAGATTTTAGTCGAATATCATTATAAACTAACTGGTTGGTTGTATAATATAAAAATAATGCATATGAACCCTTTTGCTTGATTCAAATATTTCAGTAAATGCTCATATCGCTAAGGTTATGAACAAGAAAATTTAGAATTCTATGAAGGAAGGCAAAATTATATTCTGTATAACGAAGGAATAAAATTATTATCAGTAGGATAATATAGTCTCGCCAATGCCACTACTCCCCTTCCCCCGGCATTTCACAATGTTATGAAATTAAATAATTTTTATTATTTCAGTTGTAAAATAACCCGCACAAACCAACACTGTTATCCTGTTATCAAACAGTAATTCACTGCAATGAAGACAACAAATGAATACAACAACAAAAAAACACGACAGTATACCTGCTTAAATCTCATTCACAATACAACTACGCAATTTTATGTCATGTTGAAATTTCTATTTAAAAATGTTTTTAATTATTGTCATTATGTTATAGAGGAAAGATAAAATTCGGAAGAGAAATGAAACGGTTGAAAATCAAATAAAATTTATGCCTTTCTTTTCATTATAATTTAATGTTAGTGATGGCATATAGATGTAGATCTCATTAATATGTCCATGTGTAAAATTTGTTGTTATTCAAATAAACGGAAGTGAATTATATGAATTTATTACTATATTTATTTTCTGAAAAATATATGTATATATAATAAACTTAGAGGGTCTTTGAATTAGGGAATTCTCATAGGACTGAATACCGTATCAGTTTTATCAGTAGTATTTTCATGAAACACAATTCTAACCAATCTATGCTATGGGTGATGTTAAAGCATATCCACAAATGCACCGCTGTTTGAATGACTGCCTCTAGGAAAGAGGTAAAAAAACGAAGCATTTCTGTTGTAATAGAACACATATTTTAGTATGAAATAATGAAGATGTGATTCTGTATGTTGAAAAGTTGAATCCTGCTGTTTAGATATGACCGTCAAACAACATTTATAGTATTACATGAAACAAAATAATCTAAAAATCAAGAATTGAATCGAGCTTCAAGATTAATAAATACTCCAGTGAATGAACTCCAGGGATAGTATTTTCAAGTATTTGTTTTTGTAGGGATTTTTGTTTGGTTGGTCACAGGATTTCATCATGAGGTGACATCGGTTAGAGAACTATTGGAAAACCTGTGCGGAGTACTGGACATCTGTTTCATCCTAGTGTGGGACTCTTCGTTAGCGTCCACCCACCGACAGGGTTCAAGCCCAGGACCGTGTGGGTACAAGGCCAGTGAGCTCGTAGACCATTCACTCAGCCACTGCGACCACATCCAGTGGACAACACATGAATTCTAACTTCTGACCTATTCAGGAAGTTACTTGGGGTTCTAGTGGGAAGCCGTGATCATTGGAGTACAGCAGGTGTAAGGTGAGGACAGGTGGTCATCGAAGAATACATTGTGAACTGGTCGAACTATGTCGTGAATTGGCAGAAGTTGGAATTCATGTGTTGGCCATTGGATTGGGTCTCAGTGGTTGAGTGAATTGTCTACGAGGTGTCTGGCCTTGTAACCAGAAGGTTGTGTGTTCGACGATTGTCGGTGGATGCGCACTGCGCAAGATTCGCAAAGTAGAACGAAAGAGCTTCCCAGTACTCTCTGCAGGTTTTCCAATAGTTCTCTAACCACTGTTATCTCATAATGAAATCCTCCAACCAAATGAGTCATAGTAATTTGTGAAATGTCTTGCTTAGGTCAATATGCTAGGGAAAGTGAAATATGTAACATCAATGAAATATCTGCTTTTCAAAGGCATGTTCATTAATTTAATGGTTAAAATGACGTAGTCAATAAACGCTTGAATGATTCAAGGCTGAATAATGTGTGATAATAGATAGTTAATCATTTCATATCACTTCACGGGGACAGAGTTTTAGAAAATAGTGAAAAGTTATGAAGAGAAATTAACAATAAGAGGATATGAACCAGTTGGTAAATGAACAAGAGTGTTTAATTTCTGCTGAATACTAAATAATTATTAATTTCTTTGTTTAACTGACTACATCTATTAATAGAGGTGTTCAAAGATTGATACTGTGGTTTCATTAAACCACCATCTTAATGTATACTATTCAGAAGTGGTTTCTAAAGATAAAACAAAGCTGCATAGAAGTCAACTACGCATTGGAAATAAGGGTTTAAAATATTGATAAGGTGTTATATATTTTTGGTAAATATAAATACGGTTGTACGGCCTTTGACCAGTCATGATTTCTGGAAATAGACGTAACTGCTATAGCTGATGGTAGTTGACAGTTTTTTCTTTCTCTGGATATTTTCATCACTTAGATCATTAAATGTAATTCCTAATGAGTTACTATGGTTCAACATCACATCAAGTCTTTTATCTGATATGCTCCGTTTAACTAAACACGTCAGGATCATACGTAATTTAAATATAGTACTGAGAACTGAAATACTATTATTATTATTATTATTGTATCCTTTAGTTCCTAGAGGAACATAGGGCTTCAGCTGCGCACCTCCATTGACTTCGGTTTTCTGACAGCTTTTTCAACCTGCTCCAGGTCTGTCCACATGCTTTCATCTCCTCCTCGCATGACCTCCTCCAAGTCACCCTTGGACGACCAACTCGCCGCCTCCCTTTCGGGTTCCACTCGAGCGATGGCTTGTCTAGTGATGTCACTTGATGGTTTCCTCAGCGTATGGCCAATCCATCTCCATTTCTTTCTGCCTATTTGTTTCACAATCGGTTCCTGATTGGTTCGCTCCCAGAGATCCCTGCCTGTTGCTGATCTTTTCTGGCCGGCCATCTGATCTTGAGTATTGAGCGAAGACAGTTGTTAATGAAGGTTTGAAGTTTGTTTGAGATGCTCTTTATGACTCGCCAAGTCTCTGATCCGTATAGTAGCACTGACTTCACATTGGAGTTGAAAATCCGGATCTTATTTTTGATGCTGATTGCTGTTGACCTCCACACAGATTTGAGAGTAATGAAAGCTTGTCTTGCTTTTCCGATTCTGGCTTTGATGTCCTCGTCAGTTCCGCCTGTAGTTGAAACGATGCTTCCCAGGTAGGTGAAGGAGGCTGTTTCTTTCAGGTTCCTCCCATTTATGCTTATTGTGGTCTGTTGGTGTTGTTGATGTTGGCTAGGAATCTTCATTATCTCTGTTTTATCTATGTTCACGTGAAGTCCTATCTTTGATGCTTCTTCTGCCAACTTGTTACTTTTCACTTGCATATCTTCCAGTTTATGGGAAATCAGACATATGTCATCGGCGAGGTTCAGATCCTTCAAGTCTTTTGTGTCAGTCCATTTTATGCCTGTTCCCTCGTTGGTTGCCGTTGTCTGTCGCATTATCCAATCAATTGCAATCAGGAAGATCATTGGTGATAGTAGACAGCCTTGCCTCACTCCCGTCCTCACTTCGAAGGCTTCCGTAAGTTTCCCGTTGTGGATTACTTGGCATGCAGCATTGTCGTATAACTGTTGGATGAGGTGTATAATTGTCGATGGGACCCCGTAGTAGCGAAGTAGTTTCCAAATGACCTCTCGATCGACGCTGTCGAAGGCCTTTTCAAAGTCGATGAAGTTGAGATAGAGAGGTGACTGCCATTCCAAGCTTTGTTCAATGATGATCCGTAGAGTGGCGATTTGATCAATACATGATTTGTTGGTTGGATATTTTTTGGACTAATATTATTATTATTATTGTTCCTTTGTGTTCCTAGTGGAACATAGGGCTTCAACTGCACGTCTCCACTTCCTTCTGTCTTCCTTCTGCTGTACTTTTCAACTGCATCCATGTTAGTCTATACTCTTTCAACTCCTCTTCACACGATCTCCTCCATGTCACCCTTGCATTGACGTTCCACTCGCCGCTTCCCTTTTGGTCTGGTTCCACTCGAGCAATGGCCTGACGCTCGCGCGGTGTCACCTAGCTGCCTCATCAGCAGGCGTCCAATCCATCCCCATCCACTTTCTCCTGCAATTCGTTGGTTGGCGATTGGTTCTTGTTTTGTTTGTTCCCATAGTTTGGTTGGTTGTTTGTGATTCTTTCCGGCCTGGCCATCTGATCTTCAGTATAGAGCGAAGACAGTTGTTGACGAAGGTCTGGAACAGGCTGTTGGAAATATTCTTTGTGACCCACTCGCCAAGTTTCTGAGCCGTATAGAATAACTGACTGACTTGATGCTGTTTGTATTGAAAATCCGACCGAATTTTATTGTTGATTCTGGCTGAGTGACGAAGATTTCCAGATTGGTTTCAGGTTGATGAATGTGTGTGTTTCTCGCTCGCCTTCTCGATTCTCGCTCGATTTGACATCCTCGTCCGTTCCGACTGGCTGTAGTTGATACAATGCTCCCTCCCTAGATAAGTAAGTGAATGAAGTAACCTCTTTCAAAAATCCCTCCCGTGGATGGTGATTGGCGCTGGATGTTTCTGCTGTTGTTGTTAT